GTTTGGGCCGCGGCCCATAGGTTAAGAATCTCTGCTGTATATCATATGGAAGCAGACTTGATTTGTCACTTCTCTGTGCTGATCCTGATCCTCACATGACCTGTCCACACAAACTGAACCTGTTTCATGTGCACCACTACTGTTTACCGTAAATGTATTTTCTTGCTCTCAGTCTTTTTTTTTTCTTTATTCCTCTGTCCAATCTGTTGTCTTCATCAGACGGGATGGTGGGTCAGGTCTCTCCAGAGGCGTTATTCCCAAGATTACAGACCGAGAGCAGCAAAACGGATGCTGAGTCAGAGGTTAGTGCTCAGCTGATGATGGCTTTGTCAGTCTGTTAACATGTAGTCATTCAGAAACATCAGTTCCAAGTTGGTTTCTTAAATGAACATACCTTTCCTTTTTTTTTTTAAAACATGAAATAAATATTAACCAAAAGCAACTAAAAGACAATAGTTGACACTGTAAACAAATGCACATTGAAGCCGAACTCCTGACATATCAGAACCAGTGATTAGTACGTACATCAACCACTTTTCTGTGCAGGTGTGGGGAGTGCCTATCTGGCTGGGCACCAGTCTATCATAGTCACAGCAAATGAACAGCAGCCATTCCCTAGGCTCAATAAGTGCATGTCATATACAGAAAACTGTCATTACATAGGTTTAGAATAAACAGTGTGTTGTGAGGGAAAGCTTGTTAAAATAACCATTGAATAAACTTTACTAGGTGTTAACAGACAGAATCAGTCAGCAGAAGTCACTAATTTAAATATAAACATGGACACTCGAGGGCCAAAGAGAAGCCCACCATTGAAGAAAATTCATAGTTTGTCTTGACAAGAGTTTTCCAAACGGCATTTGGACAACTCCATGGTCTAATTCTTCTCAGCAGCTGGCCCTAAGAGATGTTGAAAGATGGTGCAATGAAACTTGCAAAAATAAAGGAGAACAATTTTAGAGAGAACTTTATTGTCATTGTACAGAGCACAATGAAATTACAGTTCACAACACCCATTCAGAAGAAGGCAGAACATAACAAACATGGGAGAACAGGTGCCCTGGTTTATGCAGCCACAGACCCTGCACAGAGCAAGGATTATCTTCATGAAGACATCATGAGGAGGTGCTACCCTCAACAGAAAAACTAAAAACCACACAAGGATAGATGAGGAAAAACAAAACAAAAACATTATTTCAGCAATGTGGCACACTATGGTGTTTATAAAAAATCTGCATAGAGATAGAGCAGATTTATTAGCCAGAGGAGTAAGTGAGTTTAGGGGGGCGTGTATCTGAAGCCATGAGTGTTGTATGCACTTGTGTGAATATCTGAAGAATGAACCCAAAGAATCGAGTCCCCAAAACCAGCACAGCCATAGTTCAGAATATGGATGTTAAGTGTTCATTCTGTGCAGCCCTCAGCCTGGTCCAGGAACCAGATCACAGACGGGTGTGAGAGGAGGGGGGAGGTGTTGGGCAGAGCCTCATTCGACGTAAACATCCAGGGAAAATTTAGTCAACARCTCAAGGCCATGTAGGGGAGAGCCAGATTCTGTAATCAGTTGTTTGGGAACAGAAGATAGTTTTGAGCCAGGCAGACAATAACAATTTTCCATCAGTTTTAATGTCTGCTGGTACATCTCGAAGTGGTGAGTCCAATCAGACAAATAATGTGGACAAATTCTGCTGAGCCGTACTATCAGCTTTCTCCAAGATCATTTCCATCTGACCAGCAAAGTCCAGGAACCACAGCCGGCCCGCGACCCTCAGCAGAACCACTTGCAGACCGAGTCCAGCTCGCACAAGGCAAAAGTCTGAGTGCTGATAGAACGGCAATCCTTCATTATTGGTCAGACAACCAGGAAATGAATATCCACCGACTCTGTTTTGTAGAACACCAGGAGACCACCAGGCCAGTCTGTAGAATCCAGTGATCAGAATCCAGATATACAGTATATCCAGAAC